TAGTGTGTAAAGGACCCAGAGTGTGTATAGGAGATTGTGTGTGTGTGTTTGTGTATATATAGAGGATTCAGAGTGTATATAGGGTAATGGATCTAGCATATATACGTAATGTGTGTAGTGGTGCCGTGTGAGGGGTGCTATAGTATATATATATATATATATATATATATATATATGTTTGGACGTATTGTATGTGTGAGCAGCGCAGTGTGTTGGGTGTGCTGTGTGTGATGGGTGCAGTGTGTGTGTAAGAAGGTGTTCTTATCTGCCATCCTGGTTTTGTGCTGCCCTAGGCAGGACAAAACTCAGGCGCCCCCTCCCCCCGTGCCACTCCCACCCAAGCCTTCCCCCCGCCCCGCCTTCTAAATACACACACACACACACACATTCACTGACAGATACGCATACACTAGCTAACAGAAACACACACTCACTAACAGACACACACACAAACACACACTAACAGACACACACTCACTCACTAACAGACACACTCACACTCACTAGACACACAACAGACACACACTCACACACACACACATTAACAGACACACACGCACACACAGCAGACACACACACACACACTAACACACACACAGTAACAGACACACACTAACAGACACACACACTAGCAGACACACACACTAGCAGACACACACAGTAACAGACACACACAGTAACACACACACACACACTAACAGACACACACACACACTAACAGACACACACACACACTAACATACACACACAGTAACAGTCACACACACACACACACAAACACTAACAGACACACACTAACAGAAACACACAGTAAAGGACAGACACACACACTAACAGACACACACACACAGTAACAGACACACACTAACAGACACACACTGACAGATACACACAGTAACAGACTTATACACACACTCACTCACATTAACATATTCTTTTTTATTTAACCCCCCCCCCAGCCTCCTTACCTTTGGGAATGCTGGGGGGGGGGTTCCTCTTTCTCACTGGTGGTCCAGTGGCTGATGGGCTGGCTGCTGGGCGGGTGGCTGGCGAGGGAGCTCTTCCCCTAAGCACTCTGCTCAGCTCCCTCGCGCGCCTCAGAGTGAGGCTGGGAGCCGGAATATGACGTCATCAACCCGGCTCCCAGTCTCACTCGGCAGCGCCCCCCGACCGCCCAGCAGGTCAGTTATTTTTTTTGCCGCCCCCTGAAAAATGCCGCCCAAGGCAAATGCCTTGTTTGCCTCGTGGCTAATACGCCCCTGTCTGCCATCACATTCTATGTTTCTAATTTTCTTTGTCTGTTAACTCACTGAGGGTTATTTTATATATTATATACATGTGTGTGTGCTGTATATGTGTGAGAGTGTGCTATGTGTGAGAGTGTGCTGTGTGTGTGTGAGGATGCTGTGTGTGTGTGTGTGTGTGAGTGTGCTGTGTGTGTGAGTGAGTGAGGGTGCTGTGTGTGTCTGAGGGTGCTGTGTGTGTGTGTGCTGTATGTGAGGGTGCTGTGTGTGTCTGAGGGTGCTGTGTGTGTGTGTGCTGTATGTGAGGGTGCTGTTAGTGTTAGTGTGCTGTGTGTGTGCTGTGTGTGAATATGTTTCTTTAAATTTAAATATGTATTTTTGTTTAATTAAAAAAAACAACGTTATGTTTTTCCCTCCCTTCTTACCTTTAGCCTGGGAGGGGGGGGAGAGCCTTGCTGCCATGGAGGGGGACCGTACTGCCATCCCTGGTGGTCTTAGTGGTGAGTGAACTCTAGTCTGCAGGGCTAGAGTTCACTCTTGTGAGATCTGAGCGCTGTCGTGGTAACCGCGGCAACGCTCCGACCTCGCGAGAGGAACCCGGCGGAGCTGCTGGCTAGAGCTCCCCGGGTCCTTTCCTGCCTTCCTTCTCCCCAGCCGGTGGCTGCATATCAGTGCCTGTGGGCCGGTAAGAAAGATCTTTGATCTCCCCACTGGTCCATGAAGGCACACAGCAGGGCCAGCGCTCGATAAGTGTCGGCTCTGCATGGGCCGACAGGGGAGATCCTGTGATCTCCCCTGCCGGCCTCGGCCCATGGCCATCGTGGCCCACCGGGCATTTGCCTGGTATGCCCGATGGCCAGTCCAAGCCTGTCCATCAATTAACTTACTTTAGAAGGTTTTATCTCCTGCTCTGTAAATTGAACTTTAATCATACACAGGAGGTTCCTGCAAGATGTAGCAAGCTAATAACAGAGCAAGAGATAACAAATACTAAATGGGGGGCGGGGCCTGACTCTCAAGCTGGTCGGACGTGTTTGTCTGGAGCTCCGACAAACCTGAGATTATTCTAAGGGAATTGTACTGTCTGAGAGCGGGTACCATGATGAAACTAAAAGCGAGACATATCTACAGACACACTAACCCCACTAAGCCTGTTATAGCTCTGACGGGCACATCATGTCCCTGGCCTAGCGACCCCAAAAGGCGCACGGCCTGCTGTCTGGGGGAGGCGGCCGATCCCCTGGCGGAGGAAACGTGCTCACAGCGACTACACTGGAGCCCCGGTCACACCGGTCGGTGGGGGATATCCCGGTCCACGCTGGAATTAAGCACTACAGTACAGCAACAAAACCGTCTCCAGCGGACTCTGAACGACACATAAGCATCCGGCATGACGCTAACAAGATGGCTGCCAAGCCGCAACTAAAGCAGAGCAACCGGGGCCTACCCGCCCAAGAGTGGAGGGAAGCTTTTGAAACCAAGTTTGAAGCAATCTGCCAGGCGTTCTGGCATAAACTTGAAGCAAGCTCTCTCCTGCTAGAATTACCTGTCAAGAGGATGCCCGAAGCTACCATCCTGACTGCCCGATACTCTTCTGGGCTGGGAGACGACCAGGAGTTTACTCCATGCCATCCATACACACGTGGGGATGCCCGGGATGAGGAGAACCCGTGGGCCCACGAGCCAACCACCGAGATTGGGAGGCTTCATGGACACAAGGCAAGGGCTCTCATTAAGGCCCGGAACCGAAGAGACGGGAAATCGGGATGCATCGGGAACACCCAAACGGAACAGCGAACCCGCCAAAACACAGCATGCCCCCCTTCCTCGAGCAGCCATCGAACACAAACCCTGGTTGGAAGAAACAATGTCAACCTGTGGACATTACCTCTGAGCAACACAGACAAGGCCACTCTGGGTGACAATACCATACCAGCTGCTGGCGTGGGCTGAGGGACGATCTGAGATGCTTAAGTTACTCAACTTGTTTATTTGCTAAGAGCCTAGCTATATGCTTAAATTTGGTTGAGGCGCTGGGTAAAAAAAACCTTCCTGTTCGCTAAACATAGTGCTTAAGCTTGTTTGTTTTCTTAAGACTTATTTTAGTCTAAATTTTTGTCTCCTCGCTAGACAACATATCTTAAGAATACAATTAAGACATGGAGGCCTCACCTGACATAATATAAAATGTGCACTAATCTACTTGCTACATAAGTACCACGTTATTTATTTATTTTTTGATATGCCATGAAACCATTCTGTCTTTCATAATTATCCTACCACACATTACTCTTCTTCCATTTATTCTCACACAGATCGATGTAGTACTACAGTAGTTCAGCTCCAGTGGTCTCTATTTTCTCCTGTTTGCCTAGCATGTTCAATAACATTTATTATTCAGAAAGTTCCATCCGTGTCTTGAGTATCCTAGCTGCAGCATATATTCAGAGTTTTAGACACATTTGCCTAGCTTGATTTTTTTTTTTTATATTATAAAAGTGTGCAGAATTGTCAAATGCCATTTCACTGTTTTGTCATGTAACTTGTCTTGCCTGCTCTTGCAGCAGTGAGACGGCATGGAGCGTGATCTATACACCAAAACTGCTTAATTAAGCTAAAGTTGCATTGTGCCTTTAGTATGCCTCTAAATATCTGATGCAGAACATCTGACCTGGTATTCAATAGGTCCTTTTTCAAAATCAAACATGGTCTCAGCATAAAGTTTTCCATTGCTGGCATTTATGCTGAAATCTTCTTTATCCCTACTGAGAATACTGTATGTTATCATTCCATCTCTTCCTGTATCATTGTGAAAGACCCGCAGTTGGGTAATTAATAAAGGGACAGGTTGCTCCTGTAACATCAAGAAAACATTGGTTATTATTTCAATACCTATATCTAAACAAAGCCTAGCAAATACAATGCTGCTTCCAAACTACTGTGAGCAAAAATAATTCATTGTTTTCAATTTGTTTTAAGAAAAGTACATATGTAAAGCAAAATATATATATAATAAAAATAACATAAACATATATATATAAATATATATATATAAAACTTTTTTGATATGTATATACACTTATTTTCTTCTCACTGCGTCAGTTTTTGTTATAGAACATATAAGTGGTCGCTAATTACATGCCTCCTACTATCTCACTTTTGACGGGACAGGTCTGATTTCTGAGTGTTGTCCTTGCCTCCTGCTTTAGGTTTCTAGTATCTTGTATCTGGGGACATTAGGGAACTGTCCCGGGGCAGCACAGCACTAACGCATCATTAGAACCGCTCCAACTGTGCAGCAGGCACTAGGATCATGAAGGGAGCGCTACAGCAGTCCTGGTAACTTCAGCGCTTCTGATAGCTAATGGCTGGCCAGGCTGAATGTCAAGTGATGGGCCCATTTTTTTTCGGGCTGATTCAGCATTTTTTTAGATGAGACTGTACCACCACCTTTTCAGATGAGACTGTCCCTTTTCCAGGCAGCCCTGCCCATTGGCGGCATCATTTGTGATAAGGCTCAGCCCCTCAGAACTCCGCCTACTCGTCCCAACTTTCTGAGGGCAGAAGTTGGGAGGTATGGCCAGTTGTGATGCACAGCCATCCCCTACTATAGCTTCTCTTCTATAAAAATTCCTTAAAAACTATACATTAATCTTCAGGATGGGTAACCTGGTATCTACAAGATTTGACTTTTATATATTAAAGAGGATTCAATTTAAAAATATGGTCAAGCAAACTTTATTATTAGCACTGAGAGCTTGAATATTATGATATGGTTTTATGATCATTACCTACATATTTAAAAACTGTCAGGTAAGTAGCCATTCTAATTAAATTTACTTTAACTTGGTTAGATGACATAATTTGAGTCTGATTGTGCAGTGTTTTTGCTATGGAACACTCCACAAACAAACTCCAGACACCATGACAACTTCAAACCACTGAAGTAATCATGGTGATTGGAGTAACCCTTTAATTTAGTGTTTCATTTACTATTTTTGTCTTTCATTCACTATTTGTTTTAAAGTCAATGCCAGTTCATTCCCTTGAAATTGAATTTCATGCTTCATTGTGGGGGCGGAGCTGGCACCCAACTTTTGCAGTCGCAAGTCTGCAGTTCTCACATATGAGCATTACTACTACTGGGATTTAAGCATAAACTGTAATTTGTTTCTCATACCTTCGCTCCTGTAAAGGCCTATTGACCATGGGAAACAATTATGCAAAGCCAAAAAGCCAAAACAAGATTGGCCCCATTATTATGTAGATATTAGAGATTTGTAACAGAGGCTCCATGGAGAAGGAGAGCCCAATATGGTGTTGGATATCAAAGACTTCACAGATTCCTCAAAAGAGCAGCTGTTATAGAGGATTTGTACGTACATAATCACGTTTCTTCAATTGCACAAAAATATTAAAGGGTTCTCTACCAGACTTGCCTGTGTGGAGAAGACCATAATGTCCCAGGGTACTAAACTTTGCAAGCTGGACAAAACTATTCATGATCTACAAAAGGGCGATACCATGTTGGAATATCATCTAGAGCAGGGGTTCTCAACGTTAGTCCTCAGGACCCCCTACCAGTCCAGGGTTTAGGGATTACCTGGGTGTGTCTCAGGTGTTTAGAAAAAGAAAAAAAAAACACCTTAGAGTCTAAGGTGTTTTTTCCCCCTTTTTCTAAACACCTGAGACACACCCAGGTAATCCCCAAATCCTGGACTGGTAGGGGGTCCTGAGGACTGGGTTGAGAACCCCTGATCTAGAGGCTTGGTCGAACTGTGTCATTTACGATGTAGACTTCTCACAAAATTATTATCCCACAAACAAGCAAGGAGAATACAATGGGATTACATCTGTCGCCGGCCTCAACCTCCATTTCATTTGGGGTGATGCATCTCACTTTCTTCACTGACTTATCTAGATCCACTGTACTCTGTTGGAGATAACTTCACCCCCTCAAGCAATCCCTATTTTCCCATAGTTTGCAAAACCGTGGGAATTCCATGATCATTAATCATTACACTAAATGACAGGGAGCCTCAAATATCAGACAAATCAGAGAAGGATGCTGTTCTGGGGAAACTAGGCCTCAGCCTGGACTCTCTTATCAACAATACAAGGCCCAATGGACCTACTGTACAATGATAGGCTCCTTCTCAAATCACTCTATTTATACAAGTGGAACAACTCCCTCTGGAGGCAGCAGTTACTTGAGTATCCGACTATGATGGTTTCATCACATTATTGGTTTGTGCTTGACCTACTCCTTCTTATGTTTTTCTTTTTAACTACTTGCTCTCTTTTCCCTGTTGCCATTTTCTCATCGACTTATTATCTAAATCACAATACTGTTTTTCATTCTCATCCCATCCCAAGCTCCTAATTAGTTTTCTCTTCAGTAGCTTATCTTTTGGGAGCTGTACGTTTTATCTGTTGGCACTGCTTACAGTTTCTCCTATTTTATTCAAGCACATTCTTTTTTTTAAACTTTGCATGATTTCTTCTTTTGTGTTGCAATTTTTTTTCTTTCATAAAAAACCTACGTTCTGGCATGTTTACTCTACTATGGTTGAGAGCTACATGCAGGACTACTTCACTACTTTTTGCAAATTATAAATGTAATGTCCAGCATATGTTAGATTGTGGCAAAAAAACAACAACAAAAAACACTTTTGAAAACATATATTCTTAAATTAAATTGATTTTCTTACTTCTTTAATTGTCAGTTCTACCAGAGGGTTAGGGAAAACAGGTGTAAAACTATTGTCATCTTTCACAGACACGTGAACTTGAGCTTGACTAAATATGCTGACATTTTTTGGATCCACAGCCATTATCGTTATATCTCTCGGAAAGTCTTCCTTCTGCAAAGCCATCTTTGTTGTTATGACACCAGTTACTGGTTCCATGTTAAAGTAATCTAATCAAAGTAGACAAAGTAGTCAATTATACTGGAATTATTTGTCAATGTAAGTGGTTTAAACATAGTGAAACACTAGGAGTCATGTGCATGCATCAAAAAAAGCAGCGTTTGCTTCTGCTCCCACTCCAGACTCAATATCACCAGATGCCCAAGGCAATTATTTATGTGTGTTTGTGTGTGTGCATGAGAGAGAGGTCCACTGTGTGTGCGTGTGAGAGGTTGAACCTGGATTGTGTGTGTGTTACAGTGCATTCACTTGCCACTATATCATGGTGGACCAATGGACAAGTAATCTAGTGCCAGCTAAGTCTTTCTGCACGTCCTTTGCAGTAATATTGGGGGATTTGTTTTGTTTTTCCGATGAGTCTATGATCAAGTCTATTAGAAATCTTTCTTGGTCTTTGGACCTTGTCTCAACTTCAACAGCTCCTCATAACTCCTCTTTTTAAATGTCAGGTTGAACAGTTGAGCCTGTAAGCAAGGCACATTTAGATGCATTTTTTAACCTCCCCTTGTTTTACGAGTGAAATTATTTTCAGATATTTAGCTCCTTAAGGCATCCCATGGTTGTTTGGTATAAACTGCCTGCGAAATTCCAAGTCCTTGAACAGGATTATGTGGTGGAGAAGGAGAGTAGCATTACCTTTGTCATTGCCGGCTGTTATGTTATAGAGAAGGAAAGTAGGGTAAAGAGCGTAGACCTGTACCAGGAAGGTAGATGGTGAAGCCTTGTCACTCACAGGATCCGGTCTGTAGATATCCGTTGAGAATACTGGAAAACTAATATTGCTTGGAACTATTGTTATATACACCTTATGGAAATAAGAAACAATATCCAGTTATTCACAATCACTTTTCATGAAACATGTGGAGCCCACTGATTTTAACTCGCCCATATGTAAGTCATAATTATAGGGGATTTCTCACACAGTTTTCTCAATGAAGATGAGGACTTGGCTGGAAGAAGAAAGGCAAAGCAGATGTGTACCATCTACACAACTTTGGTTTAAACTTTTCCCAAACCATTTAAGGGAAGATATCATCCATGACCTCCAGGCACCATAATAATTTAATTGATATGAAGTTGTTATGGTACCCAGAGTGTTCCTTTAAATATATCTGTTAGAGTAAATTATTGTGGATGAAAAGGTTAATGGAACACTCTAAGCACCACTCAGACAGTCACTAGATTAGCTTCCTGGTCGGGTCCTGCAATCTTTACAGTACCGACATTCAGCGTCTTTACACTTTGCATGAAGATACTGAAGGCTGCCTATAGAGATGCACTGCGTCCTATGAGAAGATGCTTTTTGGTACTGGGCTGTGATTGGCATACATGTGCACTAGCCCTCCTTGCTTCCCTATGGGAAAGCATTGAATTGGCTAAGATCATCAGCAGAGATCAAAGGATACGTGAAATAAGGATAAGTGAAACATAGTTATTAAAATAATTTAAGGGAGCTCTCGATCTAAAAAGTGGAGATAGCACTCTAATGTTAGGAATACATGTTTGTATTCCCAATGCTAGAGAGTTAATTTAAATTATTGTGATTGGAAATAGAGAAATTTTGGTAAAATTTACTTAGCTTGATAAAATATGTACCAATACAATTGGTAATAATGGTATCTATAGCTAAATACATCAGGTCAACATTTAATAAACTATTTACCTTAACAAAGGCAGACAGAGGTGGAACTCCACTATCCATGACCTTGACAGTCAATATATAGGGCACCGTAGTCCTATGTTTTGGCAAATCTTTTATAAGAAAGATGTGACCAGTGGAATTAGAGATGACAAACAATCCCTCACTGTTACCATCTATAGAAAGAAACATCTGATTAATCAGACATTAAATAAAAATTCACTAACAATAGAGTAGATGCACTTTTGCTCAAAATATCGTACTTATGTTAAAATTTATATATCATTTATCAACAATATACTTTTATAAAAATGTATAAAAACACATATGAGTGTCTTTGATAGCACATTTTTAATAAGGAAAAGTGACCATTTGGAAGTTAAAGGGATACTCTAAGGACCAAAATAACTTTAGCTTAATGAAGTGTTTTTGGTGTATAGATCATGCCTCTGCATTCTCACTGCTCAATTCTTTGCCATTTAAGAGTTAAATCACTTTTGTTTTTGTTTATGCAGCCCTAGCCACACCTCCCCTGGCTGTAACTCGCACAGCTAACATAAAAAAAGATTTCATTTTGAACCACAGTGTGTTTACTTTAGAAGTGTATATCTTCTGCTCTGTTAATTGAACTCTAAAATAATTCTGCTGGTTCGAGCAGGCTGATTACAGAGCATGAGGTAAGAAATTCTAAATAAAACAGAATGTACCATAAATAAAGTTTAAATATTAGATCTCTCTTTACAGGAATTGTTTAGGAAAGCTGTGCAGGGTCATTTGCAGGGAAATTGTGACAAAGGCTGCATGAACAAACTAATTTAACTCCCAAATGCCATTAGGCAGATACACTGCAGGGGCATGATCTATAAACCAAAACCACTCAATTAAAGTGTTACTACAACCATTTTAACATGCCCTTCTGGTTACTATGCTGTATATATGGTTTTCCCCCTGCAGTAAAAGATGCAATAAAACATATTTTAATTAACTTGAAAAACTGACTTCCACAATCCCTCTGACCTCACTGGGGTCTTGCGTGGTCCAATCAAAGACTTCACATAGAGAAGCCTGTGATTCTGTGATTGGACCAATTCATCAGCTCAGAGGACATGTGCCAAGGGAAGGGAGAGGAGAGGAACAAGGGAGGGTTTAAAAAAAAATAATCCCAGAAAAAAAAAAAAAAACAATGTGCAACGGAGAGAGGCGGGAGGTAGCACACAATGAGAGGGAGGGGGAAGCAATATTTTACTTCAGGCACTCTGCCTGCATGGGAAAGATGTTCACATTCATGCTGATAACAGACTTTTTTTTATGCACAGAATTGACATTAGGCAGTCTGGAACAGAGTTCTGGGCTGCCAATGTCACATGTGAGGGGGGTGCATCTATTGAAAAATATCTCAGCATGTGCAGTGTTTCAAGCAGAAACACTGCACAAACATACTCCTACCTCCATCACCAGTTCAAATCACTGAAGTTGTCATGGTGGTTGCAGTAACCCTTTAAGTTAAGCTATTTTGGTGTTTAATCTGTCTCTTTAAACATCTAATCAACAGCGACTTTTCCTCAATGGACAGTGTTATCACCATGTCCTGGACACTGTGATACTTTTACTTCATTTATGTTCTAACTGTTTTGGAAAAGGGTTCCATGCAATGGCCCATATGTTCTCAAACTGACTCAAATGTGTTAAAGGGACACTCCAGGCATCCAGACCACTTCTGCCAACTCCCACTACTCTTAACCCTGCAACTGTAATTATTGCAGTTTTTTTATAAACTGCAATAATTACCTTGCAGGGTTAACTCCACCTCTAGTGGCTGTCTACTAGACAGCCACTAGAGGGCACTTCCTGGATCATAGCACAGGAAACCTGTGCTAGAGCGTCGCTGGAAATCCTCACGCTGTGTGAGGACCTCCAGCGTCGCTCATTTCCCCATAGGAAAGCACTGATATGCATTTTCAATGCTTTCCTATGGGGAGCGCTAATGCGCATGTGCGGCATTGCCTGGCATGCACATTAGGTCTCCCTGGCCGGTGGGCGGGATCAGTCTCACCCACTGGCCGACGCATTCACTAGGAGAAGCGGCAGAGGGAGAAGCAGCGACGTGGGACATGGTCACTGCCTCTGATAAGTTACTGAAGGGGTTTTCACCCCTTCAGCAACCAGGGGTTGGGGGGTGGGAGGGAGGGAGAGGGGACCTGCAGTGCCAGGAAAACGGCTTGTTTTCCTGGCACTGGAGTTTCCCTTTAATATGCATTCCAACTCAGTTACCTATGATAGAATAATGTATTCCTTGGTCAACAGCACCGTACTCATCAGTTGCATTTATATCACAAATAAGCAGTCCCGAAAAGGCAACGTTGTCCTTAATTATTCTGTTGTATGTTATGTGTTGAAGTATTGGTCCCACTTCATTCACATTTTCTACATTAACTGTGAAAGAAACACAAGGCACAAACAATAACAAATAGCAAAATACAGACACTTTTCATGCTTCCTTGCATTTTGAATTTCTATTTATTTGAAGCGTCCCTTTTACTTTCTCCCTCAATATACATTATACTATAAAAATATACTATTGTCCATTTTTAACATGGACACGCAGATAGAGCTCCTCCACTGTAAGACATGTAGACGGTTGCCTGCTCACCATCCAAATCCTTTGCAAATATTAAAATGATTCCATAGGCAAATTAGATTTTTAAAAACATCTTACTTAACACATTGAATTGAGAGAGCAATCTGTATTCGGTACTACACTCATCCCAGAATTCCATATTAGTGTGAGTATATGGCTCAGCAACTAACAGAACTGAGTGATCTCAATTGTTGGAAGCCAGGCACACAGCATTAGGAGAGGACACCCAGGCAGATTCATATATCTTTCTTTACAAAAAATACATTACTGATACAACAAAACGAATATTGAATCAATTGAATTAAATCAATACATCTCTATAAGGAAAGTTAGTGTCTCCATGCAGAGGGTGGAGACAATGAATGTCAGTCACACTGTGCAGCACTGCCCCAGGAAGCACTTCTAGTAGCTATCTGAAGAGTGGCCAGTGAAGTTATCTCTAGGCTTTAATGTAAACACTGCTTTTTCTCTGAAAAGACGGTGTTTACTGCAAAAAGCCTGTAGGGAATGATTCTACTCACTATAACAAATACAATAAGCTGTAGTTGTTCTGGTGACAACAGTGTCTCTTTAAGTATTTTTTTCTAGAGCATAATCTCTCTTTAAGTGTTTGGACCTTGAAACGATATCAATTTAAATCAAATGTTCCCAGAAAATGTTTATGAAATGCACATTATTCCTTACAGTAGCAATAACAATAAAGAGCAGAAAAATTTGGGGTTTTTTTTAGGAATAGAGAGTGCCCATTTGAGTATTTTATTATTTAGCAATGTGTGCACAGGTAACACTTTTATTTTGTTTGTACAAACAAGATGACATGGGTACAAAATATCATGGCAGTTTTACCAGTGACGGTTGCTGTACCACGCAGTTGAGAATCAGTTGGGTTGTATGCTATCACTTTAAGCACATGTTCCATTGCTGTTTCATAGTCCAAAGGCTGAAGGTTGGAGATACTGCCGGAATAATGTCCAATGTAAAACAGAGGCGTCGCTCTTGTAAAGGAATATAAAATAAGGGCATTATATCCCGTATCCCTATCCATGGCAGAAATATTCAACAGCTAAAAAAACCAATGCAGAAAAAAAAATCTACATGTTAGAAGCACATTTAGAATTTTATATATTCATGAAGGATGGTATATGTAGAGAAACATTTTGCAGAGAAGGAGAGATACATTTACCAAAAAATTCTAGGATTTTTTAGAACGTATCATATGTAGAAATACCAATTGTGGAGGCTCATTTTCCTTTACTGTGACTGCAAATGATTTTTCATTGAAGATTGGAGGGTTATCATTGACATCCTCGACTGTAATGTGGATGCGTTTTGTGGATGAGCGTGGCGGGCTTCCCAAATCCTTAGCCTGAGCAAAAAGAAATTGTAATATCACAGCTGTGAAAAGTGTCACAAACAATGTTAACTCACAATAGTCTAGAAACAGAATTATATATACCGGAATCATTGATTGATCTTAATCAGTTGGCTTTTGATAAGGAGACAGGAAAGGAAATTTTCTTTGTGATGGAAGTAGATAATGTAGTAGTAGTTAATGTTATAGTGTGACTGAGGGCTTCTAGGCTTGGTACATGAATCTCTCATGTACCCCCTCTTTTTAAGCTAACTAAGTATTGCAGTTGTGAAAATATAAAGTGTTTCAGCTGGCCTGAAATTTGTTATATAACCATTCAACAGTGGGCAGTGTACAGGGCCAGATTTTCATCCCAGAAACCTGAAAGCTCAGTATGACAAACTTCCCTTCCCACTTGAGTTTGCCACGTGCTCCAGGAGGAGCCTGCTTGCCAGCCTCCTGCCCACAGACTATGGGCCCTGCAGGGAAACCTGTAAAAGGCTGTTTAACTGGCTTGGTTAAACAGTCTTTTACAGGTTTCGCTTTCTCTATTCTGTTTGGGAACCGAACAGGCGCACGAACCATGAATCACCCGGGAGCTTGTTAAGCCTAATTGACAGTTTGTAACACGTCCCAACGCAGTGTTCTAATTGTTCGTCTGGGTGGCCGCTATTCGAGTGAACAACTACGAGGTGGCGGCCATCTTGTTCACATAAATGCAGGCAGCGATGTTTGCTCATCAAATTCATGGAACTGAAAATGGACACTGAAACTCCAGAACACCGCTGGACTTCCATGATCGCCTGCGTTCGGTTCTACACAACTTAGAAGGGCAGTGTTTGGTGGAAACGTTCCCACGAACAAGGTGAACAAGCTCCAGGGTAAGACTATGTTCGGTAGTTTGTTCTTTTAAACTATCGAACTAGACTGACCGCTAGCCATGATTTCATGGAACTGTTTTTGGCATAGGACCATGTGTACAGTCGGTCAAATAATTGACTTCCATGAAAAACCTGAACCGATCTGGGTGATTTTTGGATATGTTGGTCACCCAGATCAGGGCTAACTTTTGTGGGGGTTTTGTGTAGTTGAAGGTACTTTTGGAGTGTCTGTGAAATGTGTGTTTTTTGTGCCTGGAGATAATTGAGTTTTGTACAATTCCTGACTCAATAATCTCCCTGGCATATGGGAGGGATTATCCTGTTTTGTGTGGGAGTGTCATGGGCGTGCTTGCCTGTGTTCAGAAATGTATAAAAGCAGACCATCTGGCCAGATTACACGATTTCAGCTTGTACTCCCAGAACTATGTCCTGTCTGGTTACTGAGAGGGGAAAGAGCTAATCACTGTTCCAGTGTGGAGGATTCAATGGGGAAAGTCCTTGTAAGGACTAGAGCTCCCAAGAATGTGTCGTCCAGTGCCTGGGGGTGGATGGAGCAAGTTCCCATTTGGCTCCAGGAGGGAGCGATTCCAGGACCCCAGTGAAGCCACGGCGACTGTGGGCAGAAGTGCTGAGGTTTGTCGCCTGTTCCAGCTAGGAAGCGGTCCTTGGCGGAGGTACCCAGCCATGGGTACAGGGAGCTCCGTTACACTCAGTTTCCTGCTTGGCTGAGTCTGAATGTAGAGTGTATTGAGAGAATGCTGTGTACAGGGTGTGAGTGCAGAGCACACGGTGTGAATGCTGTGGCTGTTGGTAAAAGTTAAATGCTGTGTGCAGAGTGTGCGGGTGGTCCTATGCTCAGGGTTTGGACTTTTTATACTGTGTTCACTCACAACGTTTATTTTTTCATTTTCACATGCTTGAACCAATACAGCATACATGAGGACTACTCATACATGAGGACTATCTTGCCATATGTTCAATAAATGTGCATTTTTTCTATGATTTCTTCCTGATGTATTTTTGGGGATTCTCTATGAGTGCAGATCAACAAACTTGTCCTGTGTGAAGTATCATTTGTTATTGCACCTATTGAGCTGCTATAAGTATGATATCCATGCTTATTTAATTTTGGAGTTGCGGCTACATGTTTTTTGTGAGTGAGGGATTTTCTTCACTTACATTTCAGCCTTTTACTAAATAAAGTACTTAAAATATTCTGATCATTGATGACAACGGTTTCTATAGTAAGAGAAAGGACATTTTCTAATCTTAAAGCTATTTCCTCTTTTAGCTGCAATGTGACCATTCATAGACACCTCATCTGAATAGCATGCTTATTGTGATTTTCACAAATATAAATATTAGATTTGTGCATAGTGAAAAAAATTTGGCTTGGCCGAATCAATCCGTCTGAAAAAAAAAAAAAATCAGTTTGGGTGACCCAAGATTTGCCCATATTATGTTTTGGTTCGGACAAATTTCATCCATGTAAACAATTCAGGAAAAACGGTTTGGACAAACCAAAAGAGTACGAAAAAATAAGATAATATTATGTATACATTTTGCATTGTACTGATTCACTGGATTCACAGATCAAGTGAAATATGTAATATAAATATTAGACGTGCAATTTGTTTCGTTGCGAATGTAAATTCGGCCGAACTTCAGCAATTCGGACATTCGGATGCTTCCGAATACCCAAATTTCAGAAGTGCCAAATTTCGGAAGTGCTGAACCGAATTGCCGAAGTCCCGAATTGCTGAAGTGCCGAACCGAATTGCCGAAGTGCTTCGGATTTCTGAAAAGTGACAAAACAGGAGAGGGAGGGAAAATTAAGGGAATGATGCCAGGAATCTAACCCTAGCTCTACCCCTAGCCCTAACCCTGGTAGGGTTAGGAGAAGGGTTAGGGTTGAGGTTAGGTGTAGGGTTAGGAATTAGGGGTAGGGAATTGCCCAAGTACCGAATTTTGGAAGTGCTGAACCGAATTGCCGAAGTCCCGAATTGCCAAAGTCCCGAATTGCCAAAGTCCCGAATTTCGGAAGTGACAAACTGAACCAAATTTTTTGCCCATGCACATCCTTAATAAATATAGATTTTTTTTTACTGCTATTCCTTTTTTTCCCTCTGTTGGTCACTTGTCACTTGATCTGTGAATACAATCAAAATTTAAGTGCTGTCCCCAACCCTCATTTATCTTTTTTCACTAATCATCTAATCATCTCTTTTTGGCACTTTGAACAGAACTCTGAGTCACAAATTAAACAAAATTGTTCATCTATTGTTTCATTAGTTTCATGATTCGGAGTTAAGAAATTCAGATGACCCGTTGATTACCCAAAGTTTGGATGAATCACAATTCATTTGCACAAGCCTTATAAAAATACTATGTAGTTAAATGAACCCTAGCACACCCCATGCTTTGTGAACATTAAAGAATACCACCAAGTAAAACCTTAAATATTTGTTAATGAATCAAGTAAAGGCCCCTTGTGCTCACCACCACTGTGACATCATAAGAGGTTGCTACCTCTCTGTCCAAAGCTTTTTTTGTCATCAGATCCCCCGTAGAGGAATTTATGTAGAAGATGCCGTTAAAATCATTTTCCAAAGAGTAAGTCACAATACTATTGTCTCCTACATCCACGTCAGTGGCACTGATTAAACCAATATCAAGGAAGTTCTCATTCTCTATACATGTGACACTTGAATGAACCATTGGCGAAAAGATTGGTCTGTTATCATTCACATCAATCACAATAACAGTAACCTGAACAGAAGAAAAAAATATAGTATGATTACATTGATGTTGTTACACTGAGGCTGGATACACAGTATATTCTCTTATAGTGGCAAGCCTGATTTAAAGACACTTGAGATAAGTTTCACATTTGCTCTGTAGGACTCAGAACATACCTAAACACTACATGATCATGAATTCAGACTAGCATTGAGGTTGACCTAACAGAATATTGACTGAAATCTTGAAATTGGAAAGATCACTGAAGACTTTTTAATTAATGTGTGTGGGTCAAAACAGAGGAATTTTTTCCTAGCTTGTTGCAAAATTGGAAGCACTTCAAACTGTGTTTTTTGCCTTCTCTTGGATCAACAGCAAAAACAGATGTGAGAATGGCTGAACTTGGTGACCACATGTCTCTTTTCAGCCATGTAACTATATGTTTAAATCTATATCGATAAATAGTTTAAGAAGTCTGCAAATTAGGGGCGGGGCATGACCTTCATGGTGGCAGGACACATTTTTACCAGAGCTCCTTGCTTAGCCACTGAAAACCTCTGAATTTCTTGCCTCACAGGGCACTTGTTTAGCCATGGTTCAAGCTTGCTGTTCTCCTGCTGTGTGAGGTCACCTACATTAACCAGATGCCCAAGCTAACTGTAACGGCACCCCCAGGCACAGAAGGGGTTAAACAGCTGTTTAGAGGATATTCCCTTCCAGATACACAGGCAGCTACTGCAAGCACCAATCTCCCAAACAGGAAACACACAAATTCTCCAACTCCCGAACTGGAGACACACAAATTCTCAAACTACTGAACTGGAACCATACGAATGCTGTAAACAGCCGAACAGGAAAAACCATACGAACAGTTTACACTCCTGGCAGTCGAACTGTAACAGCATACAATCAAACCCCCCCAAGAACGAGATGACACTTCGTTTTGAGGGTCAAGCAGTGATCTGTTTAATCTGGGCTACCTGCCCTGTATTTATGCAGGTTTCCCAACAGGGGGACACTCCCATCGGGGACACTGGGACACAAACTGGACAGTAACCAATCAGGACAGTTTAACCTTAACCACTCCCACATGCACATTACAATCCCTCCTCTCTATCCTGGAGATAATTGGGAAGTAATCCAATAATCTCCAAGGACAGAGGCAAAACTCCATAAGCCACATGTTAGTAAAAAGACAAAAATTACACAGTGTTACAATTACTACATAAAACATATACATTCAACATATCCCCAGAGAGCTTAGATCTGAGCGCACATTATTACCGAATGGCGCTCAGATCACATACATACAGTTCAATCGCCATGGAGCCAAAGTCTGTCACATAGTCTTTCGTTACACGAATGGGCTCCATGGCATAGCTATCTGGGGTAACACTGCTCACATAGGGAAAGTACCGAACGGACGGCGTTCATATGAATTGCAGGAGAAGGGAGGTCGGCGGCTCAGCGGTGTTCGTGCAAATAAGTGTCCGTTTTGAGTTCCGTAGATTTGGAGCTGAACACCGCTGGCCGTTCGGGAGTTTAAGATGGCCGCTGCCACGTGTTCGGTTATACGAACAGCAGCCACCCAGCGTTCACCAATTAAGCTGCGGTTAATCGCAGCTTCTGGGAGGTAAATCACTGGCACACTCCTTGCCCAGGTGGTCCCCCCATTCGTGCGTTGGTTCGGTAGATTCAATCTACCGAACGCCCAGGCAGAAAGGCACGAACAAGCCTTTCTAAAGGGGAAAAGAACAGCGTTTAACATGGGGCCATAGTCCAGAGGGAGCAGGCAAGCAACCAGGCTTCTCCAGTGCCCAGTGGCGAGGTTGGTTCTGCCACACTTACCTTGTAATCTGAAAGGGGGCATAGTGAGGCCTAGTGCAGGTGCCTGACAGGAGAGACGGCCGCTCTTCCAGATAGCCAGCTGCGGGACCCAGCTTACTCTTGCTGCCTCGGCCCCCCTCCCCCTCTGGACCAGTGGGGGTAATCTTGGTCCAGACCTGCGGAGGCCTTATTCCTCCTCATACGAGCCATGGGGGTGCCACTCTCGAGTTTGCTACAGCCCATACTACTCTAAGATGGCAGGTGCAGCATGCCCACCTAACTGCAGTGACAAAGGAACCACAAACCTCGACAACCTTAATCGGATATTTGCAGAGTTCTGGAAGAGACTAAACCAGCAAATGTAACCTGCACAACACTACCATATGCCAGACAGATTACCCCAAAGGATTTTGCTTCAGACCATTACGATGCAGGCAGGTGCGACCTCTATGAGAACCCAGCTAAGACGATAGTCACCCTCATTCTCCCTTGCAGCGGGATCCACACCCTGTAACTCCTCAGGCATGGGCCCTGGGGGACCACTCTTGGAATATTCCTCACTGAGGGATCAGTTGGCAGGATACTGCTAGGCATCATGGCTTCCAATCACCTCCTAACAAAAGGCATTACACCTGAAACAACTCAGATGGGGTATGAAACTGTGTACTAGGCTCAAATGAGACTGTCACTGGAAGGTATAGGATGGACGACAACAAATTACAGCAGTCCCACATTGTAGAAGCCTTTCCTTTATGTCTCTCTTTTGATAGTCTATATTAGTTATGCTTTTCCTTCTCATTATATCCTAGTGTTCTGTTAGATGCTGGACTGCCTCTAAACCTAAGAAGTAAGAAGGGCATCCCGGGTGGGCACAAGTATGACTAAGCTACTCTGCTTAATAACTATGTGTTTTGTTTTGCATTCTCTATTACACTGTCCATGGCATTTAATGGTTTCTAATAGTCTGGAGTCTCACACTCACTATGCCGTTGTATGTCTTTTTTTAATCTGCTTGTTTTACAACATAAAAAAAAAATAGTGCGCTACCTACGGGACTTAACTGAATACGTTTTGTTACATGTATTGGTAATATGTCTATTCCTATGTTACTCTGTTTGCACTACAAAAATAAAGAATTTAAAAAATATATATGTCTGCAAATTCCCTTGACTATACATGAAAATAAAATGATTTCTTGCGATACAGAAATTATACAAGGAATTTGGTAAATTAAAGGTTTTTTTTAATCTAAGAATATCATACCATTGTTGCTGCTGTACTTGGAGGTTCCTGTGAATCGGTGGCTTCCACAATAACATTGTACCGATTCTGGCTCTCTCGATCTAACATGACTCGTGTGATGATCTGGCCCTTGTTGGTAATGGAAAATATTTCTAAGTAAGTCTTGAGAAAATATGTTAAGGATGTTCCTCTGTTTCCAATAATGGTTTTTACTATCCCAACCTCAGTGCCTGCTGGCCGGTCTTCAGGTACAGAGAAATTATAGTGGGAATTCAAAAACTGTAATCCAGTGTTATTCGTGGCCACTGTGACAAATACATTGACTGAAATGAGATACAGACAACAAGAATTACAAACAATATATTAATTACTCAATCTTACGCATATCATTAAAATGCTCAAAATGGTTCTGTCATAACAATATCAGTTTTGAGAATTTCAAAGAAATAAAATCTTTATGAATTACCCATATTGACTGTGTTGGAAAGTCATTGGAATTCCAGAGCAATCAAAAGATATCAGACTCCACCACCGTTGGGCCGAGACGACCGGTATCCCGGCCCGCAGTTTAGTTATTCTTTACATTTGTATTTTCTTTTCTTTTGTTTACTTTTCATATTGTTTACTCTTGTTGAAACAACAACAACGGATGAAAGTAGTAATGATGTAATTACCTGAGACACTCTTCATATGTACTTTGGCATGTTTATATACTAAACTCACTTCTTGGAACGCCATTGAGCTCTTGCACGAGCCAAATCCTTCACATTGTCTACTCAATACCGTTGCAAAAATAAAGAATTTAAAAAAAAAAAGATATCAGACTGTTTTGTTTTGTGGTCAATTGTGTCATTTCTCACAGTTGCTGCTAGTGACGGCTGTGAGAATGGGCATTTACTCTCAAATCGCAAAATCTTGGCTATGGAGGATCTCGTGGTCTTGCAGGATCCCTTAAAAAAAGCTCAGTAGCTAGTAGCATTGAATCAAATGGGTTTTTTTATTTTATTTTTTAATCTCTGCTGCTGTTCCTAGCCCTGTTTTATTTTTGCTCTTATAAGACATATTTAGTGAAAACCTGTTTTCTTCTTTGGTAAGACACTAGCAGTGTACTCCTTCTTGTGTAGTTACCACTACTCACCACTGGATGACAGCGCTGGAGTGCCAAGATCACTCGCTATTACAAGCAATGGTCGGACTGATTCAGGAGTAATAGCAGATAAACTACTTGAAATAAATATCTGGCCAGTTTGTTCATCAATGGTGAATCCAGTGTAGTCCTGTGAAAATCTGATAAGAAAATATGACCTATATGTTTAACCTTTGATATGTTAATATATTTAACCATTCCATTCCTCTGTATGAATATTATATTGGTTCATGATAATAAGTACAGTTACAGTTACATAGTTTAGTAGATTACTTATATGATCTTTGTATCCACAATTCATTAAGTGTTCTTGCATAGCAAGGCCACTTAATGTTATCTCATATATATATTATTCTTATTCTTATTATAGCCAAATTTACCACCATAACTCCTCCCACAGTTTTTACACTACATAGACAGTAATATACCGAAACGTGCGGATTGTTCCCGATTGGTGTGCTATTACTTTGTGGAACGTTTCGCCGAATGATTCAAGGAATATCATCGTTCTTGTGGCGAAATTGGTCCCATAGGAATGAATGGCAAAATGTTCAAAACTAGAGAAGCTGACAAAAGCTGAAAAATCAGGACATGATTTCTAAACTGCCACCACTCCCTCATTTTCAAGCCCACCTACACAAATCTTATATCAAAACGTTCAGCTATCCCTGCTGCCACTAAACTTGTCCACGGCTAAGCCATAGTCCTGATAGTTTTCACAATATGACCATTTGTTTGCAACTCACGCCGTCCATTGGCATTCATTGAAACTCCACTCTGCAAAGCTCACATTTGAAGGGCAATTTCTAAACTGCGACTGTGCCTTCATTTTTAATATTTCAGAGACATAATATGCTTCAAAATGTAGGTCTGGATTTTGTGATTCTCACAATATAAAGCTCTTCGCTGTGGGATTTATAGTTTTAGGGCTGTAGCGCATGTGTGTGGGAACTATGGGCTGTATGTTTGGGAGAGATAAGGAGTCATTTGTGCAATTGGGGCAAGGCTGTTGAGTATGTTGAGGGGGAGGTAAGGGCTCTTGTTTGCGTAGTGTGAATTGGAGGAGTGATAGAGGCTGGAAGGTGCAGACCACTTACAGTTCTCCTTCTTATTGAGCATTGCTAGGATAACCTGTGGCAGGCAGGAGCAATATATGTGGTCTGCACCCTCTTGTGGTGCAAACTGCAAGCTCTCGAGGCAGCCCCAACTCCATGAGAATGGGTTGGCCGTAAAGGGAGAATTTTTCATCTCCCCACATGACATGCCACACTTTTCCTGCATGCCGCCCAGAGGCCTTGTGGAAAAACCTGTCCCTGACTGTAGTTATATATTTAATAAGGTAGTCGGGCCAGTAGTAGAAAAAATGCCTAATGAAATGATGCTTATTGCAGCTTACGCTTCCCTCATCAGTCTACATTAACAAAACTTTATTTTATCTTCTACCTTCCTACACTCCTAGAAATTGATAACTGAGGGGTCCTGAGGACTTGTGTTTGTACTTTATACCACTTACAATAAACGTTCCATATTTGTTGTATCCATAAAAAACTGCAAGTCTATTACCTGTAGGAAATCTGTGAATTATCTCCAATATCCAGGTCTGTGGCAGATATTGTAATAACTGGATCTCCTTCGTTCATATTACGTGGAATATGTGCAAAGTATTCTTTCTGAGTGAATGTAGGTTTATTGTCATTCACATCCTGTATGAGAATCAGGGCCTCTGCAAAGTTCTATTGAAGGAAAATTCCACATTTGACAACAATAAACAGATAATAAACGTAATTCTAGCAAATATAAAACTGGCATATTTATAAACATCACTAGGAATCTATTAAGTTGGTGATGATCACATTGGTAGGTAGACATTATCAGTGCCTGTACCCGAATCTTTCCTTACCAAGGTCCCATCTCACTCCCAAACGCTATGACTGAGTGGGAGGCTCGAAATGCAAACTCAAAACCATTAATAATAGGAAGATTCTCAGTTTCCTTCCACATGAGTCATTCGCAGAGCAATTGCATGGAGGAAAACATCGTAGAGGAGACTGATCATATCTGTTCCACTCAAAGAGTAGTAGGACTGGCAGTTGAACAGCAACGTACGGTGATTTACAACTCTACAATCACTTAAAGGCACACTGTAGGCACCAGACTGTGGCAGCAGGTGAAGTTTTAAGATGGTGGAGCGTCAGACTCCTCCCCCAGAATTTTACTCCTCCATACAGAGTACAGAGACACTGGATGAGCATGCACTGGTGCTTTTAGTGTCTGGAGTCCCCTGATGCTGTCTTTCCATTCAGTATTAAACCAATCTTAATGTTTTAATGCTAAATAGGACTCCCAAACAGTCCATCCCCTCTGTGCTGCTTGGGATAATGAGAAAGCTTTAGCCTGCTCAGTTATGGGCAGCTGTGATTGGCAGGGAGTGTCAGCTGACTGCGTTCAGCCTAAAAAAGTGCCATTGCAGGTATGAATCAGTATGGCTACAAGGAGGTGTTCCTTCAGTGGTGGCAGGGCTGTGGGAAGCCAAGGATCCTCATTCAGTGTTATTCTAAAGGTTCAAACATTGAATGGAGGGTCAGCCAGGGGACTCCAGACGCTATAACGATTCAATGAGATGCAATGGTTATAGTACCTACAGTGTCCCTTTAAAATACATTAACATATGACTAGCTCACTGGTTATGGGCAATGGCTATTAAAAGGTTAATGTTGATATACTTTTGCATCGTTTTTAATAAATGGAACAATTATATCTGTACTCTTAATAACAGAGCTTGATTGAATAATTCAGGTGTGTGTTCATGACTTTCAATTACCTTTCTTGGGGGATTCCCGAGGTCTGATGCTAGTAAAGATATTACATATTTATCTTTAGTCTCCCTGTCCAGAACTCCATGTACAAGGACTGTCCCATTCTAAAGAAACAGAAATAGCAGTGAGTGAAAAAAACAACACTATGAGCCAAGTCAAATATATTATCAACAACTCACTAGCATAAGAAATTGTGGACAAATACAAGCAAAAATGTTAATTTTATGCCAAAATATTTTGAGACTTCTGATCTGCCAGGGACTTTAAAAGGACCCTATACGCACCAAAACTACTACAGATCAATTTAGTGGTTCTGGTGTCTAGATTTTGCCCCTACAGGTTAAGTAGTGTAAATACTGCCCTTTCTGAGAAAATGTAGTTAAAGGAAGACTAATTGCATTGTAACATTTTCACTGATTGCTCCCTAAAGTCAACTCTAGAGCCTGTCACTCGGACAGCCACTTAAGGGGACCTACTGTATTCAGTACTGCATAGATTGTCGACTTGTCGAGCATCTCTATAAGGAGATGCTGATTGGCACAGCACTAGACTAGCCTATCATTGATTTCCTATGGGAAGTCATTGGTTTGGCTGAAATCATCAGGATTGAGGATCCCTGCCGGGTATGAGGGCTGAATGCACGTAGAGTGGTGTGCTGAAGAAAATAAGGTAAGTAAAATTGTTTTTATTTCACAGGAAGGGGGCAGTCATCTAAGTAGTTACTAGAACACTGTAGCGTTATGAATATATGTTTTAACTACCCACTGTATGGCAATTTAAGAAGAAGGCTCCTACTTCAAATAGTTCTGCCAGTTGCAGTTAATGATTTAAAATAAATAAAAATGTAGAGAATTAGGTTTATATGTGTTTTCCCAAACATAAAATATATATGATTGATAATTAATGGACGTCATAAACCTGGACAGTGTCCAGGCTGTGGAGCACAAACCAGTGGAGTTATGGTGGGGAAAATGTGATCGAAAACTTCTTCCACTACAAGTCAGTGGATAGTAAATACATTTTTAAACAGATTTGCACACCAGTCAATCTTTGCTTTTCCCACAGAAATCTCTAATTTTCTGTGGTCTTATTACTGCAAGGGATTTTGGGTGGGCATATGCAAATTAGTTCAACAAAGAACAATTTTTTTGCCTAATTTATTCCACCTTATACATGGATTCCTTGAAGTAAATATCTGCTGTATAACAGCTTTGAAACACAACTCAGGAAGAGAATGCAAAGCCAGATAATCACATAATCATGCATGGACGTTGGTTTGCGCTCCAGTAATGCCTCCATTGCAATCTTGTAACCAACCTCATGCTGATGAGTTGCATTAACAATGCAAGGGCCATCCATGAGTGGTTATCTAGCTTTGCACCACTTCCTGATCTGTGTTTCAAAGCTGTTGTATACAGCAGACGTCCATGTAGCCAAGGAATCCATGTATAAAGTGGAATAAATTAGGCAATAACGTGATTCTTTGTTGATCTTATTTGCATATGCCCACCCAGAATGCCTTGCAGTAAAAATTAATGAAAAAGGTGGTTCTTTGTTGAACTCATTTGCCCCGAATACCCCAGAATTCTTCGGGGTAACAACAGCACTGCAAATGTGAGATTTCTGTAGGAAATGGCTAGATATATATAATATATACAAATATATATATATACTATAGGTTTACTGTCTAAATTACAATGATTAGTAAGTTGGAGATTTTTTTTTTCATATATAGATATATATCTGCTAGTCTTGCCTAAATTTTTACATTTGAATTTCAATTCACTGTTTATGAATAAATCCCTTATTTTTGTACATGTTCTCTCTTCGTTTCTTACTTGCAGCACAATAAAGTTTTCCTCTTCAGAGAATGAATTAATCATTATTTCACCATTTAACCCCATGTCCAAATCCATCACTTCCACTTCTCCGAGGACTCTAGGTGGATCTCTCGTATAATCTCCTTCCGGTATACTGAAAATAATTTGTTGTCTTTGGAATTCTGGGTTGTTATCATTCACATCAAGTAGATTCAAAGTAACAAGAGCACTGGAATCTAGCTCCCGTGATTCAGCATCAAATGCCCAGACCTGAAACAAATAGTCCAGAGAATGTCTTTTAATCTTCATGTCTAACTGTCTGCTTACAGATCCCCCATACATTTTATTTTTCATTATAGTGCAAATATATAATTATTTATTAGAGTATATAGAGTCAGTGTATTATATTATATCAATGATTTTAAATGATTATTAGTGTTATTTATAAAGGTCAAATATATGAGGCTACTAAAGTTATTCATGCGAAAAACATATGTAAGAGGGAAATTAATAATAACTCGTTCTATGCCTCCCACTAGATTTCTTCCTGTCAAAAAAGGGCAATTTAATGCTAAAATCCTTTCCAATTCACTGATATGAAATAAAAATGTATATAAGTGGATTTGTTTAAATGCAGTATGTGAAAGTATCCTTAGATTCCTGCAGGTGGCTTAATCTCCTGTTCTGTCATTCTTTTGTGGTATACGGTCTTTCCCCCAAAATAGGACCGGGTCTTATATTCATTTCTCCCCCGAAAAACACACTAGGGCTTATTTTCGGGGGAAAACGTGTGCTAGAAAGCAGGTCTATGTTCGTGGGGATTTTCAATAATAATAAAAAAAAAGTTAGTTAAACTTCCTATGCTCTTTATTAGTACTACTACTGCTAACAATCATGGGTCAGGACATATTACATTTATATTTGTGTGTATATATAGTTTGTATATTGTATCCTATTGCAACAATGCAATGTTTTGTGGACAAAGACCCAGGACATACTTGAAAATGAGAGAAATCTCAATGTATTCATTCTGGTAAAATATTTTATAAATAAATAAATATAGTGAGGCTTTACTACACCTGCACAGCTATTCAATAAAGTGAGAATTGTCCGGGATTAATTATTTCATTCATTAAAACTTTAAAGGGAAACCATCGTGCCAGGAAACCAAAGTTGTTTACCTAGCACTATAGCTCCCTATAGTGCCCCCGTAACTCATGGCCCCCTCCCGTGGTGCAGAGGGGGTTAAAAAACCCTTATCTTATTCCAGCGCTGATGTCCCTTCGAGCTGGTTGAGGCAGCATCTCCACTCCTCCTCAGCTGACGTCAGCCGGCGGGGGGGGGACCTAATGTGCATGTGCGGCAAGTGCCACGTTTGCATTAGGATTAGCCCATAGGAAAGTATTGTTTAATGCAGGCCTACACAGCCTGCAACATCCTAGATGTTTTTAAACTACAATGACCATGATTCTTTGAATAAAACAGAGAGCCAACGACCATGATTTGTTTGAATGAAACAGATAGCCAGGAAATCAGTGCTGATAGCCAGGAGATCAGGGAGTTGTAGTTCAAAATATCTGGGGGCCGCAGGATGTACAGGCCTGGTTTAATGCATTCCTATAGGTTTTGGTTGAAGCTGGATGTTCTCATGCACAGCATGAGGATGTCCAGCATCAGTTAGGCGACCAAAAGTTCCTTGGCCTAGACAGCATTAAATCCAATGGGAACTCACTACAGCAAACTGATTTGTTCAGTGAAAGTTAAACCTTAGGGTTTTATGAATACACCTCTACTTTAGCCACAGAATTTACCTCTTAAAAACAACTTACATGTTAATCAATTTACCATATTGTTCATGACAAGTGACTTACCAACATGATAATCTCAGGTGTGTGTTCTCTGTCCAGCTCTCCGTTTGCCAAGTTTATCACTCCGTTATTTTCAACACTAAACATAGTGTTATTTATTGTAAAATATCCATTAAACGATCCGTCCTTTGAAGAAAAGAATGCTTTTAGAGATGGATTGGGTAAGAGCTCATAGATCAGGCTACCAACTTTTCCTAATCACCAAGAATGTTAGATCTTAATGCAGGAGTTTTAGTGCACAGGTGCTGTCCATTTTCTGAGAAACAGCAAACAAGTCTCCATCTTCAGCTTCATCGCACAAAGCATGATAATGTCGCACATGGATAATGCTTCTCATAGAAAAAAATATTTGATTCAGTGCTTTTCTTTGAAAAGCATTTGATTGGCGGATTGCGGTGATTGCCTTGCTTTATAAGAAGCATTGGATTGGACTAGAGATTAGCTCAAAGCAGACCAGGCTGCAGGGGGTACACAGTCCTGGTGCTAGATTACAGGAAAATTTTAATTATATATATTTTTAATTCCTTGGAGGGGCCCATATTCTTTACTAAAAAAGAAACTCTCTAACGTTTAAAACAAATATATTAAATTTTTATGTTAGAGTGTTACTTTCACAACAATTTAAAAGTCAAAGTTCTGTAGATATGATTCTGAACTTCAAAGTAACACTGTAACCAATAGCTGATCAATAACAAATACTACATGTACACTTACTTTCCTGTCCTGAATCGAACTCCCTTCTATTTCCTTCTCTTGCTATGGCTTCCAGAAAAGGAAACATTATAACCCCTACTGCTGCTTTAATGGTTATAATGCCAGGAATGCAGTGGAGCTGTTCCCTGGTAATGGGGCAAAATAATTTGCAATGATTTGTCCCTTTATCGGATCCGTGCCAGGCACTGGGTTTCCTCTGAAGCAGTAGCATAGTGAAGGGGGGCAGAGAGAGACAAATGTCACCTAGTGTCTTCATGAGGGGGCTCCACAGGGCATACGTTTCCAGGAAACTGTTCCACTCGTAGAGGGGAAGTAGGAAGAAGTTCCTACTTCCCCACTACTGGAGACCAGTTCTACTATAGGGACCAGTTCTTAGAGTGGAGAGGTGTGAAGAGCTACAAAAGTCCATTTCCCCCACACATTATGAACAGAACTCAAGGCAGCCAGGATCATGTCTTAATACCCCGGTGGCTAGTTGTCATAATGGAAAAATCATCAGCCCCGTACTGGAGTAATATAGATGTCTCATGACCTTGCTACACCTCTGAAGCCAGTGACACACATCCACCTTCTATAGAGCACCAAAAGCCAGATGCCAATCCCACTAGTCATTCATTGGCTAAGATTGTCACCTGGGGGCTTTCAGTAATTAAATGACACTCTGTCCATAGAATATGCACAAAATTGTTATTAGCCAGGGCTGGGCTGGCTAATGACGTAATAATGATGAGTTACATCACTGGCAGTATTATTAAAGCAAATCTGTCATCAAAAATAAACTTCATGTGATCTACTTCAATAACGCTCCTTGAGTCTAAATCACGTTTTTCCCCTGAGCACTCTAGTTTTCATAATATACATAAAGAAAAGTAGGGACTATTTCTCTTCATGTACAGCAGTCAAGTTGAGAAATCTTGACAATGGGCAGAGATTACAGCAAGGTTCTATTTCAGCAAACAATCAAATTTACCCACAATTCTTTAGTAAAATCAATCCCACATAAGGGTACACAGCAGACATCGTGGGGAGAGGAGAACAAAATGGCTGCACCCAGATATTGAGATCTGGCACAAGGAAGACATGATAATAAATATAAATAAAGGCAAATGGCAAGGGTGGTGGTAATATAATACAGGAAGAAAAAGGGAAAGGAAAACCAAAACAAAAAAATGACAGGGCCGCTTTAACCCCTTAAGGACCAAACTTCTGGAATAAAAGGGAATCATGACATGTCACACATGTCATGTGTCCTTAAGGGGTTAAATATGTCTGCATGTGCAGCGCTTTGTACTGATTTCTAGTAGCATAAATACTTTAAATCTTTTAAGTGGTTATGGAGCTTGGATAAACCTTTAACAAGAAGGTACTTATCGACATTGTGTGACAGTTATATAACATGGCTGTTCTCATTGGTGTAAATATGAGATCATTATAATAAACACATAATTTCTTTAAAACTTTGTTTAAGATCAATTTAAAGAGAAATCATTACTTTAACAGGTACTTTTTTTTGTTGTCAAAATACACAGGTTCCTCTACTTTTATTTAAAACACTTATTTTTTCCACTATCACTCCTAATTGTAAATGCGGCTTACCTTGTCCATGTCAGTCACATTTAGTATGCAGATGATACTACCGACTGGTAAATTCTCTGGAACAGAAACATTGTATAAAGCCTGGCTAAATTTGGGATAATTGTCTTTGATCTTTAACACTTTGATTCGTACAGTCGTTATACTCGTCATTCTTGAAGAATTACTCACAGATCCCTGAACCACAATGTCAAAATGTTTCTGCCTCTCGTAATTTAGTGGTTTTAACAAAACTATTTGTCCAGTGGAAGAATTAATGCCAAATATATCAGAGCGAGAGAAAGGTTGTTGATCAATAATTTTGTAGGTTAACGTGGTATCAATCCCAGAATCTATGCCAACAGCAGAGACATTAAACAATGCTGTCCCGATGGTTTTATTTTCTGATATTGAAACTTCATATTTGCTTAATAGGAACGTTGTGAAATTATCATTTAATCCACTATTGTTGCATAATGAAGTTGAATGTGATGTTAAGGGGAGTTTGTTCTCAGCATGGATTTTCAAGTTCTCGAGTTTTGTCTCTCCCCTATCAAGAGAAGTATCAATCAAGCATTGGGCACAAAAAGGCAGAATAGTTAGTTTTTCGCTTACTATTTCAGAATCAATTAATACCAAAACATCAAAATGATCAAAAGCTCCATTTGCACTCACAAAAACTTGTATAAGGTCACCATTTTCCTTTACATGAATGGTGGTGTTTTTAATGTGAAACATGTTTCTTGTATCATTTGTATCAGTGGAATTAACATAAACTGTAGAGTAGTTTGTTCTGCTCCCATCTGTCAAGGAAATGTTTACGGCATAAGACACGCAGTCCTTATAGTGCAGGTTAGTTGTGGCCCATATGATCCCTTTGGATATTATAGTCAGAGAAACAGGATCACCACTTATAGAATGGTTGTATTCTTCCTGTCAAGAAAGATACAGTGGAAGAACAACACAGTGGTTAGTAGTGTATGGTCTGTAAGGAATTTACCTCTAGGCAATAAGTCAGAAACAAAACATGGTGCAATATTGCCAATAAAAGAATACAAAGTAATGTAGATTGCAAATACTCACAAACATGGAGCCAAATCTATACATATGGCTTTCATGGCCAGTGCAGAGGGACTCTTAATAGGATGACCTTTTTGCACTTTCTCAGACTTTTTGTTTATTGGCAGATGATTTTTTACTTTTGTACATAGTTTATTGTATTATTCTATTAAATCCAATGAAGCTTCTTTGGATCTCTCATTCCATCATTGCTGCAGGCTACACAGAGATCAGCTGGAAGAAGGATTGGGGACATCCTATTAAGAGTCCCTCTGCACTACCCATGAGAGCCATATGTAAAGATTTAGCTCCATGTATGTGAGTATTTACAATCTACATTACTTTGTATTGTTTTTTTTTTTTGTTTTTTTTTTATATATTTTATTTTTATTGGATTTTTTGAGTGCATGTCTCCATGTTTCAGGAGTAAGGTAAGACATTGTATTATAACATTGTAGTAACACAAAACGTAGTGTTATAAGGAAAAAGAAAGAAGAAGAAGAAGAGATAAAATATCGCAACATCGCAGCACTGAATACAAGTATGACATTCTCAGTAACAATTTTATTTGGCCTAGGATACACATTGGTTTCATATCTGTCACGGTAAACCTGCCGCCTTGGCCGTTGATTCCTATGTGTGTGTGTGCGGTATAACATGCGTCCAAGAGTTGTGGTATGTCGTTCTGGGTATCACTGTGGTTCAGCCTGTTATACCCAGGTAGTTAGATTGTTGTGCCAGAGGCGGAGAAAAGGACCCCCCGTGCACCCTCTGTCCCACCCCCTGGCCCTGTTCCTTGTCCCTTTCCTAGTTAGCTTCCCCCCCTCTTAGGCAGATATGATGGTTATTTAGTTTAGTCAGCCTGTCTACCTCTTAGCAATTCTTTCCAGGGTTGCCATATGTCTTTGTATCTGTGATATTTGTCTAACGATCCCCATCTTAGTTCCTCCATCTCATGAAAATGTTCTATTCTTTGAAACCAGTCTTTTTTAGAGGGCGGGATCGCCGATTTCCAGTGGTTCACTATCGAACTTTTTGCCGCTGTCAGCATAAAGTAAACGAGGGAATGTTTGAATTTACGGTGTGGTATTTCGAAGTGGAGTAGTAGGAGTGCCTCTAGGTTGTAGGGTATGGGCGTGTCTGTTATTAGATTGACCGTGGTCCAGACTTCTTTCCAGAAGCCCGATAGCTCCTCACATGTCCACCATATGTGTTGGAAGGTGCCCTTATCTGAGTTGCATCTCCAGCACATTGGTGATGAGTTGGAGTCGAATCTGTGAACATCCACCGGGGTGGTATACCACTTGGAGATGAATTTATAGTTAATCTCCTGTAGTGGTATGCTAGAGTGTGCGTGGAAGATCGTTTGGAAGATATTCTTCCAGTCTCCTACTTCTAAATCTTTGCCTAAGTGGTCCCTCCATAATCTGGTAAAGTACGGTAATTGAGTACACGTCTGGGTTTGTAACAGTTTATAGCAGAGGGATGTTGGCTTGTGAGGCGTTTTTTCTCCCGAGCATAATAGTTCAAATTTGGTCCTGTCCCTTGGAGTCCAATGTGATAAGCCCTGTGCAGTCAAGAAATGTCGCATTTGTGCGTACTGAAATCTCTGCATAAGGGATGGGTCTTTCCCTTCTGTCAGTAGTGTGATTGGCGTCACTCCCCCCTCTCTCACTACCTCGTCTAGTGTCAGATGTGCCTTCCGTTGGTCGTCTCCCATTGGTTTCAATTGGAAGCCCCTTTTCCCTGCTATGAAAAGGGGGTTGTTCGTTATAGGGTATTTCGGAGATGGTGTTGGGGCAATGTCTGGGTAGCTGCGTACTTTTTTCCATATTTGTAGGGTTGGTGTTATCGTCGGGTGTGCTAGTATCGTCCAGTCGTTAACCGAGGTCAGCAGCCATGGTATTGCCTTCAATGAGTCGCCTATCTGAGCTTGTTCTATTGTAACCCACTCTTTGGAGGCGTTTTGGTATGTCCAGTCTATGATTCGGCCTACGTGTATCGCCTGGTAGTATAGCCAGATGTCCGGCAGGCCCACCCCCCCCAACTCCTTAGGTCTCGTGAGTATGTTGTACCTTATTCTTGGACGTCTTTTGGCCCATATGAACTGTGTAAATAATGCCTGAATTTTCTTAAACAAGGTTCTTGGAATGGCGATTGGGAGAGTGTTTAATAGATATAGCAGTCTGGGGAGTACATTCATTTTTAGAATATTTATCCTCCCAAACCATCGGAAGTGTGGTTTATTCCATGCTTCCAGGTCCGCACTAATAGCTTACTATGTATTGTTTATATTGGCAATGTTGCACTATGTTTTGTTTCTTTCTGTAAAATCAAAAGACGTGTGTTCCACCTAATGTGACGTGTGTTCCACCTAATGTGTGTATTTTTAAAGTATTCTTTAGAGTGGTATAAGGGATTCCCACTCAGGTGGCTTGTAGCAGTTATTGCTAAACACATACATCCATACATTGTCTTGATATTGAATCTAGAATATGGACAAAGACATAGATAATAATCTGTCAAACATGCAGAAAGCGGTTTGTATTTATATCAAAGGAACACTGCAAGCACCAAAACAACTTCAACTAAATTAAGTTGTTAGGGTGCCAGATGTCTCCTGGAGGCATTCTTATCTCCAGTTGCCTCCACCGCAGGTTACAGCTCTCCCCTGGCGGCATCTGACTTCATAATTTTCACTTACAGGAAACGCAGAGTGTCCCCAGGGCAGGAGTGCTGCTGATTTGCTGAGAGGGGCCAGGTGATGCTCTAAGCCAATCAGTGACTCCCAATTGACTAAACTGGTTTAGAAAGAAACATAACAATTTTAAGCCAGTTGTGTTTCCGTGCTTCCTGTAAGTGAAACATCTGAAGCTGGATGTTGCCTGGGGTGTAGCCGAGACCATAGTTGGAGGCAACTTAGGTAAGAGTGCCCCAAGGAGCCTTCTGGTACCATAACAACTTAATTTAGATGAAATTGTTTTGGTGCCTGGCATACCCCAATAATTGTGGCATTATCTTAATCTAAACAAACTTTTCAAATATCTTGATATATAATATATTTGTAGGTTAAGTAGTAAGAATCAACAAATGAAACTAACACAAATTAAAAAAGGAGAAAGGAACAGAAAGCCCACTATCACACTATCTGGGTTATTTGACAAAACTGTAAATTGCCAGGAATTCAAAGTGAGTTTATTTCAAAGGCCCAAGTTACCAAATTGGAAGCATATTCCAAGTAAGTTATGTTTTCAGTTTACCTAGTTTATACTGCAACTTCATGTATTATTTTTGAATTTCTGACAAATTCAGGGAATGGTCCTGACCGTGTTTCATCCAATTCATCTGGTGGTGTGACAATCGCAAGTTTTAGGGAAACACTGTAGCTTGCCCCACATACATTTTGTAATCTAAGGTCAGTTGACAGAAATCGCTCCTGTGACGTGAGCTGAGGTGCATAAAATAATAATAAAATAAAAAAAATACATTGTTCAACTGAGAACTCCTGAGCAGCCGGAAGCCCCCTACGTTTAAACTTTAGGTGCAGTAGCACAGGAATGTCGTTCTTTATGCTTTACCTCTTCTGTATGAGCATTCTTCACATCTTGGGCGAGGATTATAGAACGTGAAAGAGACCCACCTGCCAACAAAATACGTGGAATTAATACTGCACAGCATTAAACTGGGAATTGTGACGATTTGATAGGAAAATTTAATTTGTAGTCTCAGTTTGCGAATTTTTCCAGTTTGACTCTTCAGCCTTGCTACTGCAATTATTTCATACATATCCACTGTCCAGCTTCAAACAGGAATCCTTGAAGGAATCCAAACAACATGGCACAACCGCAAATGTAAACACAATAACACAGAGCTCCAGGAAAGAGCTTAATCACTAGAGAGATGGTAGGAGAGATGGCAGCAAATATAGTATCCCATTCATTCACATGCAATATAGCAATAGGAGACATGACTCATGTACAAGGCAACCAAAGTGGAAGCACACCCTGTGACTTAAATTTAATTTTTTTTGGTTTTATTGTATGTTAATTTGCTGTGAGTGTTTTAGTGGTTAATCTCATGGGTTTTATATAGCTACACTGATTCACATATCAATCTAGCTCAACATATCACTAAAATCTGTTTATGTTAGCGTTATTCAGGTAGCTAAATAAAATGAATACATCTCTCCCCATATTCAGTCCAATGTAATACCAAGTCCCCATGTGTTACAATGTACCCCGATCACTGTTCTAACACAGTAATCATTTATACAGTATATTCAACCCCAACATTCTAAATGGCAACCCTACCCAGTGACCCAACACAGCTCTTGGATGGAACTTTTTGCCCACTTGATGGAGAGGAGAATTCCATAGAGAACATGCCCAGCCAAGAAGCCCCATCCAAGAGCTGTCTTGGTGCACTGAGTAGGATCACACACTGTCTCAATCCCCATGCTTGTGGATCAATGAGAGCCCTGCTGCCTCATTACCCAGCCAGTGCCCTGCATCATGATGGAGAAACAGATTAGAAAGAGCACTCAAAGATACCTGCACCTGCAGGAGGTGCAGACGTCATACTCCCCCCACCAGACATCTAAGGATAATGAATTGTAAAGGGAGGCTGCAATCACAATATTCACAGTCATCACACATACAACAGACAACTGTCTCTACACAAAACACACAGACGGTCCACACACATTACCTCCCAGCACACATACACTAAAAAGCCTCCCTACATTCATGCAGACCTCCAACCAAACCTCAACACACATACAGTTCAAATCTTGTATCATTAATATTTTGCTGAAGGGATATATGTTGGAATGCTTTTTGGAAGATATGCTCTGAGGGAAGTGGTTTTTGGTGGCAGTTGCTAGTGGGATATGGGTCTGGGGAGATTTTCTGACAGAAACAACTCTAGGGAGAAGTGCTGGGAGGGGAATGGCTGTGGAAAGATGTGTTGTAGGGAAATGGCTGTGGGGAGATATGCTGGAGGAGAATGGCTGTGGAGAGATGTGCTGGAGTAGAATGGCTATGGGGAGATGTGCTGGAGGGGAATGGCTGTGGAGAGATGTGCTGGAGTAGAATGGCTATGGGGAGATGTGCTGGAGGGGAATGGCTGTGGAAAGATGTGTTGTAGGGAAATGGCTGTGGGGAGATGCGCTGGAGGGGAATGGCTGTGGAGAGATGTGTTGTATTGGAATGGCTGTGGGGAGATATACTGAAGGGGAATGGCTGTGGGGAGATGCGCTGGAGGAAAATAGCTCTGGGGAGATGTACTGGAGGAGAATGGCTGTGGGGAGATGTGTTGTAGGCGAATGGCTGTGGGGAGATGTGCTGGAGGGGAATGGCTGTGGAGAGATGTGTTGTATGGGAATGGCTGTGGGGAGATGTGTTGTATGGGAATGGCTGTGGGGAGATATGCTGAAGGGCAATGGCTGTGGGGAGATGTGCTTGTGGGGAATGGCTGTGAGGAGATATGCTGGAGGAGAATGGCTGTGGGGAGATGCGCTGGAGGAAAATAGCTCTGGGGAGATGTACTGGAGGAGAATGGCTGTAGGGAGATGTACTGAGGGGGAATGGCTGTGGGGAGATGTACTCGAGGAGAATGGCTGTGGGGAGATGCTCTGGGGGGTGGCTGTGGGGAGATGTACTGGAGGAGAATGGTTGTGGGGAGATGCGCTGGGGGGTGATTGTGGGGAGATGAACACACAGAGCTCCCTCCTCCTGCCAGTCACTCTCTGTAGTGTAGCCCTGAAGACTGTGGTAAAGGTTCTTGTTTATTCTTGCTCGGTGTGCTGGGTGCTGGTTGCTGCCTCTGCTTGAGAACCTCTGTGAACTCTATTGAGCTAAATCATACTCAGAACAGCTGATCACCCTTGGCCAATGAGTTAAATCCTACACCTCCAGTCTTAGCTCAGAGCAAAGAGCTACCAGCTGTCCCGTAAGCTGAGAAGGAGTGACCCACAGCAGATCCGATGTAAGAAGTCAAACTAAAATGGTTTGACTACTTATAGTGGGTAGGTGCCAGGGTTCTCATGGCAGTATAAACACTACAGTGCCCCAAAGGAGTTCAGTCCCACATTTGTTAGGATGCATGTCTAGTCCTGTAGGCCTCTGATGAAGTTGCACATTGAGCTGCACCGAAAAACACATCAAGCGTTTGCATATTTTTTGCACTTATCACTATGCACTATAGTTGCACTACTATGCACTTTTAAAGTAAACAATCCTTAATTTCTTTTTTCTCTCTGTCTAGTTAGCGTTAACGGGAGAGAGGGACCTTTATATTCCTTTACTTTTACTATGGTCTCTATTTTGAGTTCTAAGAGACTGTGTCTTTTTTGTTATATACATTTACTAAACTGTTTTACACTGACAGTATGTGTGTATTTTAGACCACAAGGGAATATCCATGTGAGATAGAGTACTTTCTAATTTTTACTGGTATCTATCGGGGAACCCTATGATTGGCTATCTAGACTGCCTGTTTCTATATAACCCCCGTTTATATATATATATAGCTGTTAGATATTTAGGGTCATTATCGGCCTTTTTTCCCTGTGTTGTATCACTTATAATGTTCAGTGGACGAAATACCAATACTATTCAAGTACGGACCTTTTGGCCATTATTTGACCAAAGTCTGTTTGTATGTTCCATACTATTTTATTTATACTGTCAAGTTTCAGTGATTACTAGACAGATCTGTGAAAAAACTTCTTGAACTATATTTTTACCACTTACAAAACTACTCACAATATGGGTATTGGATGATTACCTATTATAAGGTTGAATTGTGTACTACTAGCAAATATCAGCAAGCA